ATTTTATAAAACAGGAAAGTTTGCTTTAATGTCAATGTCCTTGTCAAAATGAAAATATTTTCCCCCAAAAAAGAAATTAAAGGAGGGAAGGGGTGAGAATATATTTTCTCTCACACTCTCCACACACACACACACACACACACACACACACACACACACACACACTTTCATTGCTTATTCATGATTGATGCATGTCATTTATGAGATATATTAGTCATAGTGATAATGATATGAATTATTTTCCTATAATATTATGCACTAATGCAAATCTGAAATAGTAGTTGCACAAGTTAAAATATATTTAATTTTCATTTCAGACTTGAATCTTATGACAGAAATGATGATTTTTTTTCGGGCCATCTGTCTCCATCCCACGTCCAGGAGATACATCATGGCCAATGTCAGGATTTCAACAGCTGATGCCTTCCCATCGTCAACTACTGCCTCCCATTTCCAAAGAAACCATTGAGGGTTATTTTATCTACCGTATGGCAGGAGACAACCAAGCTGCACATGATATCAAGGCCATAGAGAAAGGTTCTCTGATGTTTGAGGGGGACAGGGTGCTGGCATGCACTGTTCATATACGTGCATCTACTGATGTATACTTAAGTGGCATCGTCAGTGCATCTATGAAAAACAAGGAAAAATATTTACACACCATAAAATGAAAAGAAAAAAGAAAACCATTTTAAATTATAATGAAATTTGTACTCAAAGATGATGCTAATCCAAAATACATTTCTTGACACCAAACTGATTGAAAGCGAATTTATTAATGGGAAATTAATTGCACATACATTACATTTTATGCATGACTTCTATGCTTGGGTTAATGGTGGTAGCCTAGTGGTCTAAGTGTTTACTTGTCTTGCTGAAGGGCCAGGTTCGATTCCCTAAAAGGGTTCAATGTGTGAAGCCCATTTCTAGTGTCTCTAGCTGTGAAAGAGCTGGAATATTGCTAAAACTGGTGCATAACCATACGTACTCACTCATTCTATCCTAGGTCACATACAATTACAAGCTGAAGATAGAGAAGACCGGGGAGCCAGTCAACTCCCACTGAGAGTGTCCTGCAGGGAAAGGACCACATTCAACCTGTAAGCACATCGCTGCGGTGCTGTTGATGTTGGAGCATTTCATCTCAACTGGCAGAGTGCAAGTTGGAAAGAGCTGTACGGGAAACTTGCAGTTGTTCCACAAGCCCAAAAAATCGTACAAAGGTAGGTCATATTACAGCCAAGGAAATATCATACCTGGGACTCAACTACAATGTTATGATGAGGAAGAGCATATATGGATATCAACTTCTTTATTATGAGGTTAAGGGGGGTTCCTCATTATATATATATCTAAATGCCTTAGAAAAGTTATGATGGTTTATGATTTTGTATATAAAAGAGAAACTGTATATGACTAAATACTTACGTGTTGGATATTGGAGTGGAAAAAGGTTTTAAATATTTGTATAAGTGTTGTTTTGAACAGGATTATTATGGCAATGTAGTATCAAAATATTGTATTCAGGATCACCCGTAACAGCTGAAGAACTGCCATCAAAAAGAAAATGGTCTCAGCATATGCTGGAAGATCTAAGGCCACATAAATACAGACAGATGAGTGGCTATAATGATCATGTGCGCAACATGATAACAAACTACTGCTCAAAGTCATCTCATAATATCGCCCTAAGATATCTTCACCCAAAGGCTGATGTCCAGACAGCTGCTGAGGACCATCACTAAATACCTTATCACACCTTAAATAGCCATTTACAGAGTACATGGTTGACATGGCACTGAAGGTACACAACACTGGAAATTCTGCTGTATAATACATGTACATGTAAATTTCTGTAAAACCTAAAGTCTTTCAGATTTGATCTTTGTAATACACAGTTAAAATCATAGCTTGTGAGGAAACATAGCAACATCTTACTGTTTGGGGTTGTGTGTTAATGAGTCATTTGTAAAATGCAATTAACTAATTTTGAAAATGCCTAATCATGATCAAGCAGATTAGTTCCCTTGTAAAAGAAAAATAGACTTGTATATTAGGAATTTTTCAGATTACTGACATGTAAAACAAACTATGTGAAAAAATATTGTTTGGGACATCTCTTTTATGTCTTGACTTTTGTTTTTCTTTACAGGTAACTGAGGAATCTGCGAAAGATATTGAGGCAGCAATGCAAGACCAGTCCCTGAACCCAGTGTGGCACACAGAAAGAAAGTGGCACCTCACAGCCTCAAGGTTTGGTGAAGTGACCAAAAGGACCAACCGAAGAAATAAGGAGAAGTTATGTAAATCAATTGTCCACAAAAATATTATCATGTAAGCCTGTAATTCTTGGAAAGCAGTATGAGAAAAGAGCACTTTCAAAATTTGAGTCCATGTACAATATCAAAACAAAAAAAGCAGGTCTATTTGTTTCCTGTTCTGAACCCTATCTGGGTGCTAGGCCAGATGCCATTATTGATGCTGATAACTTGGTTGAGGTGAAATGTCCATATGCTGGAAGGAATGATCACATTAAACCTGGTAAAAATTGTCCATATCTTCATTACAATGTAAACAATCAGATTTGTTTAAATCCCAGTAGTCACTACTACTGCCAGGTACAGGGACAGATGTACTTAGCAAGGCGTCAATTTTGCTATTTTGTTGTTTACACATTCTGTAACATGTTTGTAGAAAAGGTCAGTGTTGATAAAGATTTCTGTCAGTACTCATTAATTCCAAAACTTGAACCGTTCTATACCAAATATCTAAGACATGTAAATCATGGTTTTTTCCCCTGGAAACATCATTGAGGCATTTATGAGTCCGAGCTTGTGTATGTACAAATGGTAATAACCTAACATGTATGTTTGATTCCCATTGGGAGTTTGTGTTTGTGTATTTAGCACATTCAGGTTGAAATAAACTCAAAATCTAAAAATGTCATACAGTTATATCCAGATCTAATAGAAATATTCCTTGGACTTTTTGTTGATGATGGTCTTTTCTCTTATTCGGTAATTGGTCTCCAGCGTCAAATCAACATTTTGGAAACTTATTGTGACAAATGGTGACTGTTCGTCAGTCTTTATAACTAAAGTATCATTTTATGCTTGGGTGTAAATTCTGTATCACTTAAAGAAAAAAAAATCCAAATAAGTTCACATCTTTTCCAAATATCAATTTGTTTCACATGCTCATGTCAACATCAAATGTTATATTAATACAAATTATTATGTTGTGCATACATCATGCATATTCTGTGCCTTGATCTATATTTGCAATGAAAAAGCAATTTGAATTGTAAATCATGCACATGTCCAATATGATTTAGCTACCATTAAGACAGTTTAGTGTGAAGTTGAAGATTCATGACGATTCCATTTGAAGAATATACACAGTACTCAACTAATGTTCCATATATACACATATAATTATTCAGACACTCAAGAGAGAGAGATTTTGGATTTCCTCCAGATTTCACTGAACAGGTTTACAAATGTAGGTAACTCTAATACTTTATATACATATTGTCATTTAGATTTTGTTGAAGATGAGTATCATATTAGGTTTATATGCCCTAGGTACTCTGTGATAAGAATAAGGTATTTACCTTTTCATAGCTTTAACAACACACATTCAATTGGTCAATTAGCTAAATACAAGAAATGTACATCTCCATAAATCTGTTGCTCTGTATATGAAACATGTTTTTGAAATTACGAGCTCTCACATGACCACTTATTATTACGGAAAACTATACTATAGGCCATGTGACCATACCGATTATATTACTACTGTATAAGGCAGTGGGGTGGCCTTGTGGCTAAAGTGTTTGCTCGTCCACGTCGAAGACCCGGGTTCAATTCCCGACATGGGTAACATGGGTGAAGCTCATTTCTGGTGTCCTCCGCCATTATATTGCTGGAATATTGCTAAAAGCGGTGTAAAACAATTCTCAATCACTCACACTACTGAACAAAAATTCTACTACTACTACAAATTTCAGTCACAGATATCACAAAGAAGAGATGCTTCAAGCAAATTCATTTACAATTGAATTTCTGAAATTTGAAATAGCAAAACAAACATAAACAATCAGCGATCCAAGTACTACTTTACTTTGTAGGAGATGTTTTTTCAGAATTTTGAAAGTCTTACTCAGACCAATTATCTGTTCAACATGGATTCTTTTAGAAGCAATTCTTCTGTCCTTAACAACATCTTCTGGTTCTAACTGTGATTTGCCTTTTATCATAGTTGGAGTGTTTACTTGAACATTTTGGGCTGCAAATAAGTCTTGAACCATAATGCCCCTGTCAGCCATAATGCTATCCTGTTTTTTAAACAAACCATGTAATGGGTTAAGTAAAGGAGATTGTTCTATGATCTGTCTGTCACTTGCAGACCCCCCAAAAGATTCGCTAATAAATGAGACTGCCCCTCTGGGTGTGCAACCGATCATGGTTTTCAATGTGTTTTGATGTTTATAGCTGGACCATGTCATGCTCTGAGCATCAACATGAGATGGCTTCTTTGTTGGTATCTCTGTTGCATCCACAATGATGCTAGTGTTTTTAAACTTCTCACCGAAATCTGTTGGCATGTGATCATCTACAGTTGCTCTTGATGGCAGTATCTGTAGTTCCTTCAGTTGGAAATATAAGAAATTGATCCATGTTATTACAATTTTGGAAACAGTGGATGATGATATGCCAAACAAGAAACTTAATTCAATGTCATCTTTGGTCTGTCTTAATTTCATTAGACTTACCGCAATCGACGTAATAAGTGCCCAGGGCGCTCTCAAAATTAGAAAAAGGGGTCTCTTATTAGAATATTATTTTGATGAAAAAAAACATAGTTGAAAGATACATTTCGTGGTTTATGCTGACAGCCTGAAATGTTTATGTACGACAAATATATTTTTCTAGAATTTAATTGCCCATTATTAAGGGTACATATAACACACGAGTGTGTATTGTACGCGAATAAATACGTCTTGAACATTGATCAATCGTGAGGGGTGCTAATTGGTATTGTTCACTAGCCAATATATTAGCAAATACCGCCGTGGGCGCTTATTAGAGCGGGGCGCTTATTACGTTGTATACGGTAAAAACAATTGGTCTTTTGGGTGCAAGAGTTCACATTGATAGTTCAGTTCAAAAACTGCTGGACCAAGCGAGTGAAAGAAAAACATGAAATCGTCATAATCTTGGAAACCAGCAAAGTACAAAACAGCTTTGGGATTATTGATGTAGGTTTCTATGGAACAACTTCCTAACAAACTGCACTGAGTAGACTGAGAGTTACTTTCACATGTTTCAAAAGGCTCATTCAAGCTACTTGGGCTTGTGATAGCACAATCCTCTCCAATACCGATTTCCACCTCCGACAACACATTCAATAAAGCTATGTCTGCTATTCTTCACGGAGTTGATGTGCCCTCTTTGGTCGAGTTGGTAGTGCTGATGTACCGGTGCATGATGGATGTGGGAAGATGGAGGGAACCGCAGCTGCCTGGAGACGACTTCGTTCACCCTCTTAAGAATTAAGAAAATAAGCATGTAGCTTTTAATTTTTTATAAGTGTTATTAATTATATGAAAATGCAGGTGAAAATATTACTACACTGTAGTAATGTTACATGTCGAACAACCTCAAATTCCTCTAGTGATTTACTTATAGAGTTTACCAATAATAGAAAATTGTACAAAACTGAGTTTCCCAGGCCTCCTTGAGTAATTCTTCCATCGGAAGCTTCAGGCTTGTTATCGTTTGTATGGCTCCTTAAAAACAGGAATTTAACACAAAGCAACAAGAACAAGCATTTACAATGAATCAACCAAAATAATAATATCTAAATTCACTTGCAAACATGGAATAAATCAACAATACACAAGTTGAAGACACATTCATGGTCGTTTTTTATGGTGTTCATTATCAAAATGTGTGTGTACCCTATTCAGAGCTACAGATAAGCTGCATATTTGTGTAAAATACTCCCCAAAAATATTCAAAACCCAATTACTGATTATCTTGTGTACAAAAACGCATGCATTTAAGGAAAAACTCAAATGTATAAAAACAGCACGCATTAATACCCAATGAAGCTTTTTCAGCAATCATACAACAGGGCTAATTTCTGAAACACAATTATGAGCTAATTTACTATCTGAGTCAAGCCAATATTATTAAGTACAGTTATATACATATAATAATAAATGTTCACTAATTTTGGGAAAATCCCAATAGAGTGATGAATGGATGAGTGAAATAATATTGGTTACCCTATGAAAAATGTTATACTTATAACCCTTTTAATATAGAAACCCTAGAGTAAAACCTCAATTGCTCAAAAAAAGTTATCTGGAGCTCTGATTATAGAAATATCTTTACATTGCTTTATGCAAGCAGAAACTTGATCACATTTACTAAGGTAAATGGGTCTGTGAATGAACAGATGCTGAACAGTAGCATGAGAATATTGGCTATTCAATATTAATAAATCACATTTTGACGAGTATATATTTTTGTATATGAATAATTTTACTTCGTAGTTATAGTTAATAAAAGAAAGATTGTTTACATAATAACATACATAAATAAATATACAATCAAATGTTTAGGCCTATTCATTAATGTTTGGGTCTGAATGAACAGCTGATCATGCTGATAAACAGGGCCGTTTACCTACTGAGTTGTCTACCTTTGACCTTCAACCGAAAACATGCTTACTCTTCCGATATCATCGCTTCCACTAAGCTGGTTCAGTTACGTGTATTAAAACGTTCACGGTTCACGATTGCATATTCTTCCTCCTTAATGCGATTCTGGTTTCTTCTAAACATGGACTTGACCTAGATAACAAAAAGCGCAGAGAACCATGCATGTGGTAGGCGACAGTGGTTTTTGTTCGTCATGCTCCTCACAGCGATAGTACGTTCCCGGAGCTCTCTATACCGAGAGTGTAACGAAGGTGTCACGCGCTGGGAAGGAGCTTGTTTGTTCGTGGTCAAAGGGAGGTAATCGTGTTTGTACAAGAGTTAACTCCCTTGCCTAAACTCCGTACAGTGTCTCGCTTAAAACTTCACACACGGCGTGTTCCCCTGATCAAAGGGAGATAATACTGCACAGCAAATCAAGAGTTATTTATGTCCCTTACCCCAAGGGAGGTAAGACTGTTTGGCAAATGAAAACAGGATTTATAGTTACTTCCCTTTGACCATCAACGACACGGCTCAAACCCAAAGAGTCATATCGCTGTAGTATGGAGGTAATGGAATAAGCCGGTTGGACCCGCATGAAACTGAAATAGTCGGTGTGCTACCCATGAAACGACATCCATTTCCACTCTGCAGATATTTTGCTGATTACAAAACACTGTATGAGTGAATGAAACCGTTTACTGAGTTATCTCCCTTTGACCTTTAACCGAAAACAAGTTCCTTCCCAGCGGGTGGAACCTTCGTTACTCTTACGATATCATCGCTGCCTCTGAGTTGGTTCAGTTACGTGTATTAAAACGTTCACGATTGCATATTCATCCTCCTTTATGCGATTCTGGTTTCTTCTAAACATGGACTTGACATAGAAAACAAACAGCGCAGAGAACCATGCATGTGGTAGGCGACAGTGGTTTTGTTTGTGGTCAAAGGGAGGTAATCGTGTTTGTACAAGAGTTTACTCCCTTGCCCAAACTCCGTACAGTGTCTCGCTTAAAACTTCACACACGGTGTGTTCCCCTGATCAAAGGGAGATAATAGCGCACATCAAATCAAGAGTTACGTCGCTTGCCTCCAAGGGAGGTAAGACTGTTGGCAAATGAAAACAGGATTTATAGTTACTTCCCTTTGACCATCAACGACACGGCTCAAACCCAAAGAGTCATATCGCTGTAGTATGGTGGTAATGGAATAAGCCTGTTGGACCCGCATGAAACTGAAATAGTCGGTGTGCTACGCATGAAACGACATCCATTTCCACTCTGCAGATATTCTGCTAATTACAAAACACTGTATGAGTGTATGAAACCGTTTACTGAGTTATCTCCCTTTGACCTTTACCGAAAACAAGTTCCTTCCCAGCGGGTGGAACCTTCGTTACTCTTCCCATATCATCGCTTCCACTAAGCTGGCTCAGTTAAGTGAATTAAAACACAACGTGCACGTTTGAATATTCATCCTTCTTTATGCGATTCTTTTTTCTTCTTCTAAAACTTGATTTAGCATAGAAAAAACAACAACATCGCAAAGAGCTCCCTTTTACTTCGAACCGAACAAGCGCCTTTCCAGCGCGCGACACCCTTTGGGGCTGACAACTTTCGTCTATAGTTCGTTTCGTCTACAGTGTCATCAAAACAAAGTTATGCATCAGTGATTAAACGGGTCAGCTTTGACCCCTTCAGAAACATAGTAGACCGGTCTGTGTAGGATAAGATAAAGGAGAATAAGAAACAGTTGAATATATATATTACAAATAATAACCAAATATAACATAATCAATATTCCTAATATCTAACATTTCAGCAAACTATTTCGGAGGAATAATTGTTCTGTACTGCTGCAGCAGACGAAAGCACTGAAACCTAACACTTAGCGTTGTGTGCTGTTCAACCATGTTGTATATATAACACTTACAGTTACTAAAACACATCTGATAAATAATTGACCCATCAGTGTTTTTCAGAAATCTGTTTACTCAAAGGGGAGAATTTGGTTAATCCTTGAACTATGAACTCCTATAAATGTAAATAAATACTCCTCTTGCTGTTATTAGTAAGCCACGTGTTCGACATGATCAGTGGTTCGGTGTTTTAACACTAAAATAATTGAAAGACGTATGAGAGACTACACCAGATATACATGAACACATAAATAGTGTAACAAAAGGGTTAACTTGCGCAATTCAAAACGGATTTGCCTTTCTGAACAACGTCTATGTTCTCTGTACCTCTCCAGCAATAACAGGTGATTTCCATTATATATCGAAGTCAAGCTTGTGATAACAAATGATTTTCACGTATTCCTAGACGATATTTAACTTGGTCAAATGTGTTTTCACTAAAAAGCCTTTTTCTAACAACCAAACTAAACGAGCTTAAACGTCTATCAAAATATGTATAATTTGTATTTACCACTTTGAATGCTAAATCTAAATGCGCACAGCCTTCTTGGTGTACATATTATATTCATCTTTATAATTTCTGTATGCTCTTGTACCACCGTCGGTGGTCTATTGAATCTGAATCTGAGAAAGAGTGAGTGAGTGAGTATGGTTTTACGCCGCTTTTAGCAATATTCCAGCAATATCACGGCGGGGGACACCAGAAATGGGCTTCACTGAGAAAGATGACGACCTCGCACTCCATAATATTTACGCTAATTTAATACAAACTACAATGGACTTTTTATCAAGTTATAATTATCAAAACGAAAATGAACGTAGAGTCCCCGAATGCATAATTGCCGAGATCCACAAAACCATCGTAGTGCTACGACTGACGTAAGTCTATGTTAAAGTACGGGAGCTACGCTCGCTTTGTGGAACGGGGCCCTGGCTCTCAAGCCTCGTTTTTAAATGGGACCGGAAGCTCTGCAATAGGCTATTGTGCCATTATCAAAACAGGGATGTGTTCAACCCAATTTCGGTAGGAATGCTTTGAGGGACTCGATGTTTCCTTTCATATAAGTGGACAGTGACCAGGGAGACTTTTCAGTCTTCTTCTCCGAGGTTGCATCTGTTTCCGGGTCACAAGGCTTAGCATCCGGGCTTTTCCTTGACGTCTCGATTTCACGAGACAACCAGTTCATGGCTTCATTCAGACCCTCTCCCGTGACGGCGCAGCTTCCCATAATGGTGGCTCCTGAAACACGTGTAATTGCTCGGTTGACTCACTCGAAGGATAAACTACAGGCAATTGGAATGAGGGATACCTTAAAAGAAATGGGATTTGGGATTGCTGATGATCTGACAATGTTTCAGAGAAAAGAACTCCACAGGATGAGAACTGAGAACCCCAAAAAGCGGTATTACTATAAGGGGGCAGGGTAGTGGGGAGTGAGAGACAACACGTAGAGCCACCGGTACAGGAATGGAGCGAGTCCGAGGACTTGTCGGAGAGACACCAGAGCGTTTACACCTCTTCTAGTGAAGTTAAGTTACAACTTACTATGAGTTTTCAGGATCTGCTGGAACTTCATTGCCTCGGCAACCTCTGGAACTGTCATGGCGCCTGGCAGGTCCTGCTTGTTGGCCAGTACGAGGAAGACGGCGTTCTTGAATTCCTTCTCCTCAAGCAAACGTTCCAGCTCGTCCCTGGCATGTTCCACGCGCTCCCGGTCGTTGCTGTCAACCACGAAGAGTACGGCGCAGGTGCCGGTGTAGTAGTAGTGATACAGAGGGCGCTGGTAAACATAGCAAATAGATTGAATATCGTTATATGCTCATATATACTTACATATAAAGTAGTCTATTGACATTAATTAATAATGGATAATCCATTTATCTTGTATTAATCGGATATATCGGCGCCATTTTGTTTTGTTCATTTGGCCGTTAGCATATCAAGTTAGCACGTGCGTTCGTGTGTGTGCCGCGTGTGTGACTGTTAGCTTAACGCGTGTGTGCGCGTGCGTGTGCATGTGTGACTCTTGGCTTGAGGTGTGTGTGTGTGTGAGTGTGTGTGTCTGTTAAGCTTAACGCATGTGTGTGTGTGCGCGCGTGTGCATATGTGCGTGTGTGTCTCTTAGTTTGACGTGTGTGTGAGTGCGTGTGGGACCGACCAATTGATATTATGGAGGGGGCCTGGGATTTTACCAAAAAAAATAAATTGTCACAAAATGCTTGAAAAAAGATTATGCTTCAGATTATTGAAAAGAAGAAATTGTCGGCCACAAATAAACAAGACGATTTATAACAAAATTATTTAGGATTCCCCCGAATATCAAATGGTTGGTCCCTATCTGGCCATGATTACGAGAGGACAGTTTACTGCAGCACCTAGTAGCTATGGCTGATGTTGGGTGTGTGGAACTTACAATGGCCGACCTTCCGCCAACATCCCAGGCTATGATGTGTATGTTCCTGTAGGATACCGTCTCCTGAACAAGACCTGCAACGAAACCGTACCCAGGTGAGAATTCAGGTTGATCGCCTTCACATTTCTTCTGTACACAATCTGGGGGACTATGCTTGTTGTAAGAGGCGACTAACGGGATCGGGTGGTCAGGCTCGCTGACTTGGTTGATGCATGACATCGATCCCAATTACGTGGATCGATGCTCATGATGTCAATCGCTGGATTGTCTGGTCCAGGCTCGATTATTTACAGACCGCTGGGATATGGCTGAGTGTGGTGTTTAACAACAAACAAACGAAACACATTCTGGGGATTCATCTCCAGAAATCGCTGTAATAGTTTTAGCTTATGTGTTTATCAAAATCTGTGGAAGAGGATATGTTTTGTAGGTTGTCCTTATATGGCATATATACCCAGCTTGCTGAAAGGATTAACCTCATCGGTCATGACAATGACTCTTCCGACCTTGGTTCGTGGTTCGAATCCATCACGGGAGTGGGATACGTTACGACCAATACACTTACACCACCCTCAGGCACGACACCCACCTATCGTTGGATTAGTTTCAACGACCTCCCCTAGTTTCAGCCTGTACAGTATTGTGGATTTCCCTGCAGCATCCAGTCCTGTAAACACGACAGAAGCAAAATACTAGTAAACCACGCTGCGGTATATGCATGTGTGAATGTATTCAACACGCACTGTTTGTTGGCATATAATTACGTAGGAGGGATGATTCCCATTCAAAGAGAAAAAAAACAATGTTTAAATAGGTTTTAGATCACAGGTATGAGGATTGTTAAAAAACAAAATTGGACAGTCACACTCATTTTAAAATAGTGACTACAAAATATATGACGACTGCTTACATTTGAGAAAAGAATTGTTTCTAAGTTTGATACATTATTTTATAACTTTCTTATATGATTGTGTTTGTTGCTTATGTTTAACGCCGCACTCGGCAATATGCCAGCTATATGACGACCGTCTGTTAATAATCAAGTCGGACCAAACAATCCAGTGATTGATATCCTGAGCATCGATACACAAACTTGGATACGAGCTTGACCACCCATCCCGTTAGATAAGCACAGTCGCCTCTTACGGCAAGCATGGGTTGCCGAAGTCCAATTCTACCCCGGATCTTCACGGATCTTCTTAAATACACATAATATGAAATATGACCAAGACCAACTATGATAAAGGGCATATCATATGAAAATCCGATAATAAGTCACTTTAAAATTCAAAAAAAAAGAAAAGAACAAAATACAAAGGATAAAAAACCTTCACGAGATAACTAACTGTACACCTACCATGCATAATCAGCTTGACTTCCATCTTCTTGAACCATCTCTGTGTAGAGCTACTCAAGTGCTGCCCCATGTTGACAGTTGGGACTGTCACGGACACGGAAACACAGCTACCTTGTCAGTTGTCACTGAGCGAATGACACAATCATCGCCAACAACGACTGTTACATATACCGCCCCCATCTCGTGAGTTTGTTTACCTGTCAAATCCACGGTGGCCGGAAGTACGTCACGGTGTACAATCTGCACAGTTTTATCATGGAAGCGCACGTATAATATCCGTGGACGTGCGCTAGGATATATGCTTTGACATATTTTGTTTCCGAAGCTGAAAGTTCTTTACAGATTCTGGGTACAATGTGTGAAGCCCATTTCTGGTGTCCCGCGCCGGGATGTTGCTGGAATATTGCGAAATGCGGCGTAAGAACATACTCACCCACTCTTTACAGATTCTGAGAGCTTCGTGATTATTATTGTGTGTTTGACCACCCGACCTCGTTTGTCACCTCTTAGACAAGCATTCGTGTTTAACAACAGAGGATTGTTCGCTTGGCATGGTGGGTGCCCTGAACAAACGTTTTGTGAAAAGAAAATTCAGTTGTTCAGTTTCTCCTTTCACTGAATAATATGCGGCTTATTTTCACCGAAAAAAAATTCTGTTAAACAAAGAATTTACAAGAACTGTTACATGTATCTCAGTCTACAATAAACCGCAGTTTGGATGAAATATTTACGTTTCTATGTGTTGGTTGTATCACGAGATATTTCGAGGGTCCGAAGCGAATGAATAACGTCCCACGAAACATCAAGAATACAAGAGTAATTCCATTCAAACTTGTAAAGGACCCGTCAAGATCCCTGTAGAGAATAGGTCTTCCGCAACCCATGCTTGACATAAGAGGCGACTATGCTTGTCGTATGAGGCGACTACGGGATCGGATGGTCAGACTCGCTGACTTGGTTGATGCATTTCATCGTATCCCTATTGCATGGATCGATGCTCATAATGTATGTCACTGGATCGTCTGGTCCAGACTCGAATATTTACAGTCCGGAGTCATATAGATGGAGTTCGGCGTTAAACAAACATACGTGTAAAGCCTGTCTACACATATACTCATTAGGGAGTGAGTTTGAACAACACATAACAACGCTTGATAACAGGGGAAATTCCGAAGTGTTGCAGGTCCCAGGCGGATCTCTTGCTGACAAACGTAGAAACATTACGTGAGCGAACCGTGATTCAAACCCACGATTATACGGTTCTGGCACCCCTAAGGGACGCAACTCTGCACAGCGAATCGCGGAGCGTTACTTCGACGACTTGGCTACGTACGTATTAGTGAGTTGGGTATAACCACGCTTTAAACAGTAAATCAGATATCCAACTAATTCCAGTTCCGCGAAACCCACGAGCAATCGAGCAGCAATATACTGGTGATATATGGAGTATAACACGACAGAGAACCAAAGATCAGCTGATCCTGGCACAGCTAAGGGACGGAACTGAATTGCGGTGTCCCACTTGGACCCCACATTATTCTTAAAAGGGGTTGGTGGATTTATGAGTCACCGAGGCTTCAGTTTCAGCAATATACCGAGATAACCTACCTTCTTATACTTTAATCACCTGACTGTACAGGACTAACTATCTAGTGTTAGTGGTTACTAAATCCGAGGGTTGCGGGTTCGAATCCCAGATTCACCACGGCTTGTCCGGACATTTCCCACCTTGGTGACCAAACAACTCCGTCACAAATAACAATACTTCTTTCAGGCAACGATATTTATTCCCAAGAGGTGAACATGTGATACAATTAACTCTTTGAATTTGTTGTTTACATGTGAGAATACAAACCGATTCATATGCCGATATATTGGTTCATCAACCAGTTCATATAACAAGTACAAGATGTACACCATAATCCGTATTCAACCATGAAGGAGGGAGTACTCTGTCAATATGTCCTCATAGTCACCAACAAATCAAAGAATATCTTCTTATTGCCGATGCAAGATTAAATCTTTCCTCGCTCACTATCAAATCGAAGACAAACAGTTTTCTCATTATTATCCAGTATTAACTCCTCTCGGCGAGTCTAGATAGGCACCCTATTAAACTTGTCCTTCTAACGTCGGAGGGCTTCAGCGAGGCATCAATATCTGTTGCACATGAAGCCCTTTACACACACAATTACAACCAGATACAGGATTTGGCAAAAAATAGGGGTGCGTTTTATAATTTGGCAATTTTCATAATAAGTAAGTTATAGTGTTGTAATTAGTGTACTTCTAGTATGCCTTTTCACCTTCAAAGCTTCCAAATGTACCGATGTTTAGTATGTTTAGTTTTGTTTTTCATAAAATGGCCGGTGTGGGGTATGTATTCTACTCAACGTTTGAAAGGGATAAACATGCCATTCTGTTTAAAAAACCCATTTGACATATGAGAATCAGTTTTGTTTATTATGGAAAAAAAAATATCCCTGTTAAAAGTTGAACAGTATATATAGAACATGCCGTTTTGACAATTCTGATTCCTGTGCAGTCTCACTCCATCCCCTGGCTTTTGCCGCTCCCTACCTACTACATCGGGCTGCAACAGTGGTATGGTGTAATCCTAGACGTAATTATGAATGTATCAAGGCGATTATTGCTTCTTTGCTCCGACTCAAATGCCAAGTGTATTCCCTTACACAGATTAACAACTGATTAGCTGGTATATATGTGCTATTTCAGTGCTTACAAATCAAGCGACAGGTCGACAGTTTGGTACAATTTGAAAACGTGACCAACTCATGAATGAATGAACTTATAGTACTACGTATATTTCCATATTTAGCGGCCTTAGTCTTGCAGCCCACCAGCTGTGTATACGTGTATGTCACGTGATGCACATTATCGATTTTCTTCCTGCGAATTATTGTTCGTGCTTATTGGCAGGTGTCGAATGAAAAGCTGATCGTCAGAAAAAAAAACTTGGTTTGTGTTCAATATGTATAGTAGTATTTGTAGACGTGACGTAATGTTTTTGAAGGTCGTGATTAAGATTAGTGCAGTTACAAGCAAACATTAACACTGAACACTTTCATACACTTTGACAGATAAATAAGTTCCGTGGACGCTTTCTATTTACATTTCAGTGCATTTCAATTATACTTATAACATGTTTTAATACTTTTAGATAGCAATTTTGATCTAATGAACCAATATTCTTAAAGGACGTCCTACTTTCGGGTACTCGAGTACGAGTCGAGTTTCCCTCCTCGGGTACTCGAGTCCAAAAAATTGGACTCGTGGAAGCCCTACTGTGCAGTACAAGCACATAGCTAAGATGACTGTCCCTCAATCTTATGGTCTCTGATATAACATAACATGTGTGCTTTATTTTCTCGAATTAAACCAAGACCCGTTATCGTACACGTAGGTGTTCAACCTAGTTTCGGTAAAAACGCTTTCAGAGACTCCAGTGTTCCTTTCATGTAAGTGGACAGAGACCAGGGAGACTTTTCAGTCTTCTTCTCCGAGGTTGCATCTGTTTCCGGGTCACTAGGGTTAGCATCCGGGCTTTGCCGTGACCTCCCCTCGGCAAATTCCTGTGACATCCAGTGCAGGGCGTCATTAAGTCCCTCACCTGAGATAGCACTGCATCCTATGATGGTCGCTCCTAGAATAAGCCAATAGTGAGCATTTTAATGTGTTTCATTTATCATAACTAAACAATAGCGTCACGGCACTGTAGTTCCCCTACAACAGCTTAACTGTCAGACCGCTTCCTTGGTCTAGTGGTAGAGCGTCCGCCCGGAGAGCGGAAGGTCCGGGGTTCGATCCCCGGCCGCGTCATACGTCAAAAGACGTTAAAAGATGGTACGTGTTGTTACCCTGTCTGGCGCTCGGCATTAAGGGGCTAAAACAAGGACTGGTCGGTTTGGAGTCAGTATACTGTGTCTGAGTGGGGTATTCATGTTAAACTGCGGCATGGTATTTCACCTCACCTTAAATGTCAACAAAAGTTATGTCATCAAATATTTATAGGGGGCGGTCGGGTAGCCTAGTTGTTAGGCTCGTCACACCGAATGCACGGGTTCGATTCCTCACATTGATACAATGTGTGAGGCCCATTTTTCGTGTCCGCCGGCGTATTGCTGGAATATTGCTAAAGCGTCGTAAAACCATACTCACTCACCCACTCAATGTTTATAGTGTCACAGGCAAATTTATGCCACGTCTTTCAAACAATAGATTGACTAAGATGATGTCTTTATGTGATTGAGAAACACATGTGTCCGCAAGCCTCGGGACTTATACCATTTATTCACTCCGTACAGATAGTCAGTAACTTTTTGATCGATGGTAGAGGGGCAGTGGGGCAGCCAACTGGTTAAATCGTTTGAGTGTCACTCTGAAAATTCGGGCTCGATGCCCACATGGGTACAATGTGTGAAACCAATTTCTTCTGTCTCCCACGGTGATATAGCTGGAATATTGTGTAAAACCATACTCATTCATTCATTCGTTGTTAGAATAGTTCAATATGTCAAAGGTGTGAGAGGGAGTTCCCAAAGTTCCCACTATGAACATACACGCATGGGTCCGAACATGTACAAGGATGTTCAAAGTGTCTAGTCTGGTGATCATTTCAAAGTATAAGTTTACAAAACTATAACAATCTTACACTTATATTATTCTTTCAACTTACTATGAGTTTTCAGTATCCCCTGGAAGTCCACTGCCTTGGCAACCTCTGGAACTGTCATGGCGCCTGGCAGGTCCTGCTTGTTGGCCAGTACGAGGAAGACGGTGTCCTTGAGGTCCTTTTCCTCAAGCAAACGTACCAGCTCGTCCCTGGCTTGCTCCATACGTTCCAGGTCATTGCTGTCAACCACGAACAGGACGGCGTCGGTGCCGGGGTAGTAGTGGCGATACAGGGGGCGCTGAAAAAAAAAGACAGTAAGCATCATATGCTTGGTCGAAATATTTATGACGGTTGGATGGCGGGACCATGGATTACAGCAACGACATAAGCTCACATGGACTTCCGGTTAACCTGAGCTAAAAATGCAAATGAAAGCATGAGTTTTAAGTGATCTGCACATTATTTTTCACAATCGACAAACAAAAAATACAGGAATGAGCATCCCAACTCACGATAGCGCCTCTGCCACCCACATCCCAGGACGTGATGTTGATATTCTTGTATGTAACCGTCTCCACATTGAAACCTGAAATTTCGAACAAAGCGTGAATTAAGAACCATTTTAAATTTCAATCGAAAATTTTCCCTACCATGAAACCCATGAATATGCGGGTTTGAATTGGTCTTTATGACTGCAAACAGAAGTATAGAATGGATGTTGTCAGATTCTTGATGAATATATATATTTTTATAAGGCCATCCTATCGCTGGACCCGTGAAGAACCCAGGTAGAATCGGTCTTCAGCAACCCATGCTTGCCGTAAAAGGCGACTACGCTTGTCGTATGTGACGACTAAAGGGATCGCGTAGTCAGACTCGCTGCCTTTGTTGATGCATGTCATCGCATTCCAATTACGTAGATCGATACTCTTGATGTAAGTCACTGGATTGTCTGGTCCAGACAATTTTTTACAGACGGCCGTCATATAGCAAACAAACAAAACCCTATTAATGAGCTGTGCAGTACAGTGCAGTGATTGATGACGGGAAGCTGACAGTTACGAGTTACTTGTTCTGTATTAATAAGCCCATTAATCAGAATTTGAAATGCTTCGCTCATTATATAATGTCGGCCCTCAAGGGATATTCTAAACATTTATAAATTCAGAAAGTTATCTCCAATCAGGCTCACCAATTGTTGGAATGGTTGAAACAACCTCTCCGAGTTTAAGCATGTACATTATCGTGGTCTTCCCTGCAGCATCGAGTCCTGGAAGTAAATAAGGTTGACCATGCATCACCCCGCATAAAAAGAACATTCTTACATCACTCAGTTCTGTAGAATTGTGTTTTATCATGAGTTGTAGATTGTTGTTTAGCTCGTTCAATGAGGACAAAATCCTGACTATACGGTTGGTTTCAGGTCGACCAATTAACACAGATGAGACACAGTTTATTTGTACGTGTTATCTGGTTCTCAACTCAAGAAAATACACTTCCTTGTTGCAGTCGCTATATTGCCGATGCGACTTTAATTTTGAACTCACCTACTCGCTATCCAACTATGCGTGTGACATTGTCAGTTTATCTAATCTGTTGAGATCAAATACCCTCGATTGCACGACCTGTTCGCTACCATGGCGTCCCCCGGCAAGTGACGCCACTATATCAACTTCTTATCAGATATTTCCCAACGAATTTCTCGCGCACACGAGTCTACGTTGGTTGGACTGCTATATTTAGCATCGCATAATTCAACGGGGGCTCAAAACAAAGCTATATGGTACAGTGGAGTGAGTGAGTATGGTTTTACGCCGCTGTTTGCAATATTCCAGAAATATCACGGCGGGGGACACCAGAAATAGGCTTCACACATTGTACCCATGTCGGGAATCGAACCCGGGTCTTCGGCGTAACGAGCGAACGCTTTAACCACTAGACCGCTCCTTCTATATGGTACAGCATGGAGATACTATTATTATACAATGTATAAGTCACTGTGTCAAGGCAAACATTTTTTCTCCGAAATGAGAGTCTATTTGTTACAGTTTAACTGGAACATTTTATTTCTTAAATCCCATCCCAATTCGTATGGTCATGTTTTAGAAACAAGTATGTATGCCTGATAGTAACATATAAGCAGTACATAGCTTCGACTTCGGAGCTAGTGCTTCATGTTCGGATCTTGAGCTACCAATATTTTCGATATTTTCCAAACGAAACTATATGGTAATGACTCAATAGGAACAAAACGAAATGAAATTATACCTACCATGCATAAGCAGTCTAACATCCTTCTTCTTAAACCATCCAAGTTTGCAGAAATACTGCCCCATGTTGAGTTGGGACAAAACACACAGCAAATACCTTTTCAGTTGCTAACACGGTCGGCTCTTCCATAAACCTCCCTATCTCGTTGTTTTGAAAAGTATGACTTGAGTTAGGCTATGCATAGACATACACCTCTAATCACCTCATACACAATCTAATCATCGCCTTCGCTGTTACACACACTTCATCTTGTTGCAGTCGCTATTTTGCCAGCGTGGATATGACAGGTAAACAAAACAACGACCTCGTGGTTTTGTTTACCTGTCAAATCCACGGTGGCCGGAAGTCGTTGCACTGTATAATCCGGCAAATTCTAATGTTAGAAGCGCGCGTAAAATATTCACGCTTGGAAACACACACACAAACATTCTTCGGCAATAGGTTTTTGCTTTATTTTAGGCAGTGACATCAACTCTGCAACGGCTTGGTCAATGCGCTGTGAACTGTCGGAGTGGATTGAAACCTCATATCCCAGGGTTTCATACACCTTGAAGCCTCGCCGTTGCAAAGGTTTTACGTCGTCGTCAATCGTTGCACTCGCTGAAAACATCAAATTAATGACACTTAGCATGTCCACCGAACCATTTAATATATGTGTGTGAAACCTAAGAAACACACACACACACACACACACACACACACACACACACACACACACACACACACATCCCTGAATTAATAAATTTAGTGAATCAGTCGGGTTTTACGTTTTGCAATATTTATATATTATTTATTGCAATATTCCAAAAACATCCCAGTGGGGGTCACCGCAATATGCCTTCATCCACATTGCACCCACCCATATTGAGAAATCAAACCCGGATTTCCAACTCTTAAACCAGGCTACCCAACCAGGCGAGGTGATCAATATACCCGGCACATTTTGCCTTCTTTCCCGGTCTTCATATCACCTGACAAAATTAATGTTCTCTGTGTGTGACATTTAAATTATAGTGACATATTACATTTAGGGTAATATCAATTAATTGCCGTTTTGCCGTCACCCAACTGACATTGCTTTCATATACTAAAAAACTCACCAAGTTGTTTTCTCAAGGAAAAGTCTGAACATTAATGTGTCAATGTGTAAAAAGAGGCCGACTATTTTTGATATTCATATTGTTACTGCCACAAATATTACATTGCTGAAATGCATAGGGTTTTTTTTAGTTTTAAAAAATATCTGGTTTTGCAGCTGAAAAAAATATCTGGTGTGGATATAAAATCCCAGCCCACCACCCACGCACCCCACCCCACATCACCCCACCCCACCTCCACACCACACCCAACCTCCCGAATATCAAATGGTCGGTCTCTAATCCAATACTTTAGACGTCGCGCGAACCTTTGACTAAATCAGTTATATCAGTCTTACAATAGGCTATTATTTTCCAACCTATTTTAATATTTGCTTTAATGGTGAAAAAAAACGATGTTAGAACTAGAGACACCGGAGAACGCTTGACAGTTTTTTTCCACTTGTTAGAGAGCCATAAACAAAACCTCCTGTTTCTTCACTGGGGGGTATTTCAGGGAAGCACATGGCACAACGGTATAGTCCAAGGTGGTTTTATTTAAAACAAGACATACATATAACGGTATAAATATTGTATAACATTCGGAAAACATATTATTTTTTAGACATGCTGAAATATGTACATGTTTTACATATTATATTTTTTAATATCATATAAATATTTTCCTTTTTTTGTGGCAAGAAATACAACCCGTAATAGAACACTAAAAGTAAGTTATCATACATAAACCTAAAACTGTATTTATATTATTTTGTTATTCTTTTCATGGTTTCAAATTGAATCAGGTAAATGTATATTCAGTAATGGTTCAACATGCCGCACACTTACCCCATTTCTCATTTACCAGAGCTACACACCGTATAAACCCATGAAGTGTTTCACAAAAAACTACCATTGGTATGATCTATATCATGCTTGGTTCTATCTCGAAGGATCTTTGTCCAAATCTTGAAACTGAATTCATCCAGAGGCGAAACAAACTGACCCAAGCAACATTTCAAGAGATGCCCTACAATGCTTGAACACAAATAGCATCCGTCGCGTAACCTTGGATGTCCATATCATCAGATGCTAAATGTCGACGGTACATCAATTTCTTCGGGTTAATTACATATGAGCAATTAATCTCCACTTTACATCTATCATAGTAGCATCACAACAGAAAAGATTCATCTCCTCTTTAACAGAGATTCAAGATTTACACATGTTAACATAGTCAAATCTCAAAGATACTATAAAGACATAGCTTACATACACATTGCAGATTTATCACGTGGAACTTCAGACCGATCAATCATCCAAATCTGAAAGTTCAAGTTGAAAGTGTCCTTTCACTGTCCCTTATGCTACAAACATATGCTAACTGCTTACCTACATTCATATGTAGGTCTCCTCAAACGAACACAAACATGCATGTTTCTTTGTGTAGGACAAAATTCGTGTTACAATGTCCTTCTCTTGTGTTGTCTTTTCACAAGTGATGAAGATTCTCAAATATTCTATTTCAATATATCGATCTCATCAACAAATAGGTGGACCATTTCCTCATCTGTACAGGAAAACTAAAATTAACGAGTATGTCTTTCACAAGATCTCAAGATAGCGTAATTGTTTCAAGTTGAACATCAGCTTAGCACAAAGTAAGAGGTCCATTTCCTCATGTGTAAAGAGGGCATATAATGGCAAAAAAATCACTTCTGGAGCAGGTATTGTTTTGTGTCCTTTCACAGTCTTATTTCCAACATGGTAGTTCCATTTCGAATTACACACAGAGAGGCCAAGTTGGTTATTTTTAGAGGATGCTGTAGATAAGGCAGTTTTTATTAGGCCAGATCACAAAATGATGTTTCATTGTGCACTTTTGTTTATTGCACAAGATCTCGCGCACTCGTTGTGTGATCTTCAGTCGGACTTTGCAGGAGAACGAATTTTCTCTGACCTCCCGCAGGTCTCCCTCTCCTATTTTAGATTGGCCACACCCTGGACGGCATCGAGACCTCTACTCCTCCACCTTCCCCTCCTTCTTTGCCTCCTCCTCCTTCTTCTTCTCCGCCTTCTCCCTCCTCTTCTTCATAGCGTCCTCCTCTGCAGCAACGCTCAGGCCGTTGACGATCCTGCGAGCCGATTTGTCAGACTTTGGTACCAGGAACGTCCTCTCGACGACCCGGAATCCATCGTCTCGGGACACGTGGTCATGGTTGATGATAATCTGGCTGTCCCAAACTGTGAACACCACAGTGACCTCAACCTCCTCCTCTTTCTCTATTGGTGGCATGACATCCCGACGTGAGAAGCCGAAGGGCGTAAGTTTCAGAGACTTGGGGTCAGCCATCACAGACTGCATGCATGAGCGGCGATAGACCTCCTTCTTCTTCTTTGGTTCGGGTTTCTGAGATAATTTCCCGCTATGGTCAATTGCCAAGAAAACAGTAGTTTTATCCTTTGGGACTGTCTTTGTCTTCGACCTAAACAGCTTCTTAAACCTAGAGAATCTGGACTCGGACCTGAGCCCCGGCTTCTCTTTGTCTGCAGTTGGGGCCGGACCCACGCGGCTATGGATACACCCCATTCTCAGTGTCTGCTAGTGTCTAACAGTCGTAGCATCATTGCGACATACTGACATGGCGCACTGCATCAAAGCGACCAATTATGCCCAACGCCATATTGCTGACTGTTCCATGCTGTCGTCTCCAGGCAAATGCCATTGGGCGACGACGTCGTCAAGCCTGTGACGTCATAGAAGGGCAGGCCAATCACGACGTCGTCCCTGAACGCGGATATGTAAATACAGGAACCTCTTTATAAAGGGGATACATCAATATATTACATTTCAGACAATTTCATTAATTTAGAAATTGAACATTATACTCATCATGTGCTTTAAATGATAACCGCCATGCAGCTGGGATATTGTGGAGTGCAGTGTTAAACAACAAAAACAAATACCACTAGTAATACCGCAATGAATAAGGTAATTCTCAATAAATACAAAAAAAAGTTCTATAATTTATCCGATGCTTGATTAAACAATAAAAAATATATGTTTGAAACATCCCAAGGTAAATCCGTTTAATAAAGTGTTTGTAGATAAGTGCAGTGTGTTTCAGGTCATATCTGCACACGGAAAACGATAGCAGTGTGTCTGTGCGTTCTGTGTCAAAGACCCACGCACCGAAAACAAATCAAGTCTTACACAAGAAGCAGTCATCATATAGGCGTAACAACACTGTTATATAAATCCCTGCATGATTCTCTGTTGGGATTGTGGGGATGAGATATCCCTTTAGTAGCCAGTTCTTATCGCAAGACACCCGCGAAGATTCCGGGGTAGAATAGGTCTCCAGCAACCCATGCTTGCCATAAAAGGTGACTGTGCTTGTAGTAAAAGGCGACTAACGGGATCGGGTGGTCAGGCTCGCTGACTTGGTTGAAGCATGCCATCGATCCCAATTGCGTGGATCGATGCTCATGATATCAATCACTGGATTGTCTGGTCCAGACTCGATTATTTACAGACCGCCGTCATATAGCTGTAGCATTGCTGAGTGCGGCGTTAAACAACAAACCAACCAACCAACTTATCGCAAGAGGTGGAATATAGGGATAGGATGGTGTGACCTGGCTGTGTGCCATCGTGCCCCGAAGGTGTAGGTTGATGCTCATTCTATCAACCTCTGGGTACACTTGCACAAAGCGATCCTAGTGCTATGACGATCGTAACTCCCATACTCTAACACAGACTCTAAGATCGCTTTAAGCAACTGGGCCCTCTTTAGCCTGGCCAGATTTTTACTTTCATTGGGGCACGGGTGGCCCGGTCGTCTAAGGCGCTGCAATTCGCTGTGCAAATGTTGTGTTCCTTGGGCACGCCAAAAAACCCGTGGTTGTAGGTTCGAATCCCAGTTTGCCCCGATTATGTTTATGGGTTTATCAGCACCGTACCCGTGCTCTTGGGTTTCACCAAAGTGGTAAACGTCTGAGACCTGCACTTCTTCGGGCTTTCCTCCTACATTAACCTGATGCGCCGTGATATAACTGGGAAACTGTTCAAAGCAGCGTTAAACCTAATTAACTCACTCACTCTATTACTTACAGGCCGTTGTGGATAAGCTGGAGTTGCTGATTGACGTAAAACACTCGAAAATAGTGGGTGTAGCGACAATCAATTTGATGACATTCAGCATAGTCATAATATACTCCTCATTGACAATATCCATATTATTAAATGTTTGATTAAATACCTTTGTCAAGGACTAAAGATCAGAATTAAGCAAATCATCTATACCTGGAACAAAGTGTTATGCATTCCAGCCGTTTATTCAGCATGTAAATAATATTAATTATTTTCCATCTTGTTTGTATTATTGGCTTTGGGCCTAAAATACTGAATAAAGTCTGTCTGCCTATACCCTTCAACACGTGAGTGGGCTCGTGAGGTTATCATTTACGCCAGACATAGTAATTTTATGCCAGCAGTCTGTAAATCAATGAGTGTCCAACAGACAAATTATAATTGATAAAATGGGCTGCTGAGTGAGAGTATATATCCAGTGCCACAGTGAACAGTATACATGCAGGTAATTTAACGTGTTGCTTATTTTTAACTAGCGGCGTGCCTTTGTCTGGCACTTCAATAGAGTTGTCTCTTTACTTAAGCGTTATCTCCCTTATTTTCGCGGAGCTCTCAAGCTCCTCACAGCAATAGCCCGTGTGTAACGAAGGTGTCACGCGCTGGGAAGGAGCTTGGCGGAGCTCTCTGTTCCCGGATCCTCCGCTTGGTGTCGCTGCTCTTGCTCTGCTTTCCAGTCTGTCGTAGGAACAAACGGAAACAGGAACCAGTCTACTCTCTACCGAGAATGTAACGAATGTTTAGGAGCTCATTCATAAACAGGTGCTCAATTGTTTAAGCTATATAGAAACAAGAAAACAGGGTTATTATTTTTTTAGAAACCCCAAAACATCAAAAGGCACTAGTTCAGCATGTGTTTGATACATATGCAAAGTTTCACTGTAAAATATTAAACACTATGCTCCAGAAATGAAATGTGACGGATGGACGGACAGACAGCCCCCATTCCTATATCCCCCTCACACTTCGTGGCAGGGATAATAATGAACTGTATTCTTGGCACACAATATTGCACACAAGAAAAGGTCAAATTATGTTTCCTACAAACCATGGCATAGGTAAAAAGAAATCAGTTAAAAAAAAGGGTTTTTTAGAAAAAAAATACAACATTTGGAGTAAAATACACACACAAACACTTTGATAATTACAAATATACTCAGTTGAAGTTAAAGAACACCCATGACAGATTAACTATGAATAGGAAAGAATCAGGTGTTCTTTAATTTCTTTTGAGTAGTATATATTGTGTCATCTGATGGGTAAATGACAGGAACTTGATCCAGTAAGATTTAGTCTTAGTCACAACTGCAAGACAGTGCATAAAATATATTCTTTTATTACATGGTTATAGTTGTCATGTCATAAAACACCCTGATATAAAATATGATATTCAACAACAGTAACAAATGTTCAATCAATATCCAAATACAATTGTATCCATAAACATGATAAACAACAAACAATATCACAGTTGGATACAGCAAGGAAACGGTGCAATGAAGTATATTAGGCCTACTTTCAGAATTTGACCGGTGCTCCGGCTTCTACTGGCATAGCTCTAATACACGAAAAGGTGTATGACAAACGTATATGTCTTGCTTGAGGGCATGCAAATAAACATTAATAAGCTATGTCCAGTGATGTTTAGGTCACTCTGCTGAAAAGAGACCTTTCTTTGCCGTTCAGGAAAGGAGCAAGGTTGGCCAATTGATGTTTACGTATCACTATTGATGAAAGTAAAAGTAACTGAAATGCACATAAAATATACATCACAAAATCTTATTCCTTAAACCATAGTTTGCACATGCTTCCTCCATCACTCAACCCGACTTGCAGAACAATAACGTAAGTGGTCTGGGCCAGACAAACCCGTAATTGATATGATGAGAAACAATCCACACCATCGGGGACACACTGACACGCTATCAATCAAGTCAGCGAGCCTGAGCAATCAGTCCATTTAATCACTTCTTACGACCAGCGTAGGTTTCAATTCTAAACTGGAATCCCCAGAGTCATATCACAGAAAGTTCTTTATCATATGAAGTTCTACCACAATCTTGGCAGCAAGCTTTTGAAAGTTGTAATCGTCCCCTTCACATAAGATGAGAATGTCCAGGGTTTCTTGTCACTATCTGAGCCTTCCTGGGATGGAGCCTTATTAGTTTTGTCCTTCGTTTTCCCAGTTTCAGATGAATACCAGGACTGGAACCAGTAGCCAGACTTCGGCACCAATTCTTCACTCAGCCAATCCAGTGCCTTAAGCAAGTCACCTTGACCCTCAGGCGTCACTGCTGAACATCCAAATATGTTCATTTCTGAAAAAGAAATGTCACTTTTCCATCAATATTGACCACAATATGATATTCAGTCAGCATGGATATAATTGTCATTGTTGTCATGATCACTATTTGTCATAAGCACTTAGACATAAGCAGTATGTTTGCCTCTTAATAATGGTTATTCCAGTTAGATTTCTAGGGCCCCAAGTATCCGTGGATACTTGTACATTGTACTATAGACAGGAAGGACAATGAGAAGGCAGAATATTCAATTTTAAACATTTATCTGCTCAGTGTAGATCATATTTAGCACTACATTGACTAATTGCAGATCTACATACATGTAGATAAATTTTATATATACACATCCAGAATTTAATTATATTATTGATTGCTGTATCGTTATACTTTAATGTCGATATTAACATTTCAAACCAATGACCAGCCTAGATTCTGGGGAAGAATAGGTTCACAGTGCCAAAAGCTTCTCTACCTTGGGTCACCAGGGGGAAAAATTCACTCAAAGTTCACAATTTACAATCGAGGCATGTAGAGCAAACACTCACAGTAGATATTTTGACAGCTTATGAGTAAAACCTTATTTCTCAGTTAGTGTGCACATGTTTTGGCAAAGTGATGAACATGTGTGCATTTAATACATACTTCCCCCAATATCTAATATGTAGCGACATTCCAATGAAGACGTCTCAGAGCTATGATGTCAGCCAACAAGGTCACAATGCAGCGACGTCATAGTAAACAGAACACTGTGGTGCCACTCTCATTCATGGCCCATGACATCATACTGCTTGTATCACAACAAACGGGCTTAGACCGATGACATAATGTCATACCAATGACATCACCCCACACTGCTTGTATGACAACGGACAGACAGACCAATGACATAAGCTTACACTGCTTGTATGACAACGGACAAACAGACCCATGACATAAGCTCATACTGCTTGTATGACAACGGACAAACAGACCAATGACATAAGCTTACACTGCTTGTATGACAACAGACAAACAGACCCATGACATAAGCTCACACTGCTTGTATGACAACGGACAGACAGACCGATGACACAAGCTCATACTGCTTGTATGACAACAGCCAAACAGACCCATGCCATAAGCTCACACTGCTTGTATGACAACTGACAGACAGACCGATGACACAAGCTCATACTGCTTATATGACAACCAACAGAGACGCATGACATAAGCTAAGCTGACATTGCCTGCAGATCTTGACTAAAACTAAAACAGAAACACACTCACTTTTCCCAGAAGGTCTTTGCTCACATAATTTGTTGTAGTTCATTTTTTCCTTGATCTCCTCCACACTCATGGCCGAGCCCATGTCCTGCTTGTTGGCCAGGAGCAGAATCACAGCCTCTCCCAGCTCTGGGTCCATCACCAATCTCTTCACCTCATCAGTCATCTCTTCAAGCCTATCCTGATCAGTGCTGTCTATGACAAACATGAGTGCTGATGCTCCAGGGAAGTAGTGTCGGTACAAGCTCCGCTGGAAAAGAGGAAGTGAGGAGGACTGAACAAACTACTGCTTCTTTGGTATCTTCAGACAAGGACCATACTTGATTAGGGGTGACTATTGGTCTGGAAATCACTAATGCGATAACTATTGATATTGAAAGAAACTATTGCGATAACTATTGATATTCCAAACAACTATTGCGATAAATATCGATAGTTTTCAGTGTATCATTTTAGATGGATTTTAGAGTTGAATTAAACCTTGGAACTGTAGTTTCCTTTGAATGTGATAACCATAACAACAAATAAAAAGTTAAGTTTGAGATATGACTGACTTGTTTTTTCTTTACCCTATAAATAATTTAAGAAAAAGAAACTTCAACATTATCATGTGTAAATTACTAGCACTCATGATCAAAAGAAAAACAAATTTGAACAGCATTGCATGTACAATAGAAATTATCAATATTCCTAACTGAAATCGATACTATTGATTGGAAACTGATTTAACAATTGATTTATTGACTTTAAGTGCTTACCAACAGCAATTAATCGATATTTCAATTTATCGCGACACCCCTATACTTGATACTGTAAACATGGTAAATCTGGACAGTTTTGCGAGCAAGACAGTATTGCAAAATGTGGGGATGACACACACTTGCAATAGTTTTATGATGCATTTATTTTTCAGACCAACAAGAAACAAATAATGTAAAGATGCATATTTCTTTTGTTTACTTCTACACATTGTCAAACCAGCCAGTGCATGAATTATCAAATAATATACTCAATTACACATTGTCCTCATTGTCAAAAGTTTAATCAGGAAAGTTCACTTAGCTGTCACCGACTAGTCCAGACATAAGCCAATCAGTTCTTTACTGTTGAATAAACCCTACTCCAACCTCCCTTGTCAACTACAACCACACATGTGCCTATAGTTAAAAAATTACTGACTGACCTTGGGTTATCATTTCACCGATGGCAAGGGTTAAAATCTACAGTATTTGTAGAAATACCTCACAATCTACTTTACAATATACTGTAGATTTTACTTCAAATGTCTCTCTACAATTGTTATATTATGTGGTGTCTTCGCTGGAGTGTGTAAATACATTATCACGTCACATTTGTAATTTATGACGTTGTCATAAGTATGACATCATTCATATGTCATTGTCAGTTACACTGAAGAGCTGTCATGAGAAAGTCAAAGTACTATGTCTGAAACTGATAAAAAGAAGATGTTGGACTAACATGGTCTTTATTTTTTATATATTACATGTACACCGAGTGAACATTCGTATGCCTCGATTTTGTGTGTATGCATATATATACTCTTGTACCATCATTTGTCGTTTTTCAGAGAAATAAACTGAAACTGAACCAAGCCCCTTCCTACTTACAAAAATGAAATGCAAAAGTTATAAGTAGCTTTGTCCTTTGTCAATCTTATCAGGGTGTCAAAAATCTCTCCAGGTTAAGTTAAGGCAATTGTTAGCCACTCACAATAATTTCATGGCGCAAACCTTTTCAGTACTTGTACGATGTACAGTTTGGACAAGCTGCATCAGACATCTCATATGTAACCATTGTAACACAAGTTTAATGCTGAACATTTCTTCTTTCAATATTTGGGAAAATATAATGTGGCCAAAATTATATCTTACCCAATATTTATTTTCATTGTTTTATATACCCAGTTCATATTCTATAGTATTCAGCCATGATCTAATAATTGCTTCAGAATTCCTTGTCTCAAAAGCCATTGTGATGCAGGAATAAACATAAACTGCACAGAGGGACTGTTATTGTCATTGTCTATTCATTTCAGAAATTAGGGTTGGGACGGGAAACTCGGGTACTCGGGTGGGTCCTGAGTAGGACCCGGGTACCCACAGTACTACCCAGACCTGTGGCTAGTCACCTGATATATTGTTTAATGACAAAAACTCATTATAGCTCAGTGGTTAAACTACAAGTTGCTAAACATGCTAAAGTTCGCCTTTCCGTCTTACGATGCAGACATTCCTTTTGACTTGTACATGTCTGACTACAGATAAAGCTTCAGTTAACTTCAGTGTACGCACGATCTGATCGTTTGATACATGTACCTAAAGAGTTTTGCCCAGGGCTGCGGTAAAACATTTCCCAATCAGACATTTTGTTCTCAACTCTTGAGACCTGCAGTGGGTACCCAGGTAGGGTAGGGTCGGGTAGTAGGGGATCGGGTACCTAGGTAGTAAATCAGGACTCGTCCCAGCCCTATCAGAAATCAGTAGCCTAAACAGTGAAACCATCAAGTCTTTCACTTTAGGCAAGGAAACAAACAACTGCCTTGTCAAAATGGATTACAGTGAAAACCTAATTCATTCAACAATCCACATTCCTGAACTGGTGAAAAGCCCTAAACATGCAATTTTTTAACTCTTTTTACATGGTAAATGTGTTTGACAATTGTCCAGAGCGATGTTATTAAAACTACTTACAGCTTTGTCCCTTCCGCCAACATCCCACGCCACTATTCTGATATTCTTATGTGTAAAATGCTCCACATTAAAACCTGAAATAAAACACAGTGTATAAATTTGCATGGTTATGTCATGGGTTCTTACATGACATGCAAAAAATAGCACTAATACCTATCATCACTGATCATGTCAACACACAATATGTACAAGATAACATGGGCGTCACACTAGAACAGGGGGCACGGGTGGCCCAGTCGTCTAAGGCGCTGCGATTCGCTGTGCAGAGTTACGTCCCTTGGGCATGCAAGAAACCTAGGATTGTGGGTTCGAATCCCAATTCGCCCCGATTATGTTTATAGCTTTGTCAGCACCATACCTGTGCTCTGGGTTTCACCGAAGTGGTAAACGTCTGAGACCTGCATCACTTCGGGCTTTCCTCCCACATTAAGCTGACACGCCGTGATATAACTGGAATACTGTTAATAGCGGCGTTAAACCCAACTCCCTCACAATAGAACATGCTGTGTATATGCTCTGTTGGGATCTGCTTTTCTGACCCAGAGTCATCATGACCCGTGAAGATTTGAATTGGTCTTCAGCAACCCATGCTTGTTGTAAGAGGCGACTGAAGGACCTGGGTAATCAGACTCACTGACTTGGTTGCTGCATGTCATCGTGTCTCAATTGCGTGGATCAATGCTCATGATATCAATCACTGGATTGTCAGGTCCAGACTGGATGATTTACAGACCACTGTCATATAGCTAGAATAAATCTGAGTGTGGCATTAAACATTAAACATTAACATGATTGAACCAAACTCACTCTCCAACATAACCAAAGTCATAACGTATCTACATAGCATTATCATGATTATATTTACACAATAAACATAGCCTTGTACTTGCCTACTGTTAGAGTGTTGATATTCTGAGACAAAAGTCAAGTTAATATCACTGCTGCTACTTACCTATCAAAATACTAAACAAACAAGACAAAAACTGAGCAGGGCTCACTAATACCCTCGACTTCGATTCCAACATACATGATGTACTTCTAAGTTCAAAACATGAAATCAAACTTTGCACTGCACCTCTCCTAATGGCATAGAAACTGTATCCCCAATTTAAAAGAATCCGTGAAGTATTTTTTCAGTTATAGCTTGCATAAATGTAAAAGTTAAAAAAATATTCTAATTTCAAGACATGCAAGCACTGGTAAAGAATCATATTTTTTTCAGAAAATACACATATCAAAATTAAACTTTGCACTGCATCTCTTCTATTAGCATGATTAGTATGGAAACTGGTCCCTAAATTTGAAAATAATCCATGCAACAGTTTTCTAGTTATGGATCACATATATGTGCAAGTAAAAAAATGAATTAAAAGCTGCACCTCTCCTATAGGTATAAAAGGTGTTCACCACATTTGAAAAAAATCTATGAAGTAGTTTTTAAGTTATCATGGTTATAGGTCACACACAAAAATGTCCTCAGAAGGAGGGAGGAAATTCCTTGGTATAACAATATACCCACCCGCCCTTTTAGGTCGGGGCACAAAAAACATATCCAAACATACAGACATACCAATTGTAGGAATGGTTGTCACCACTTCTCCTTGCGTTAGGACGTACAGAATGGTTGTTTTTCCAGCAGCATCAAGACCTAATGCAAGAAAGAAGATTGTGTTGAACATGTTAAAGATGACAGACCAAAGCAGATATGCACATGATGCATGGAATGGACTTTTCTATTCTACAGCCTCATGTTGATCTTCAATGAGGTGACTTCTAGTTCTATTTGTAACCATGGTAATGTCCCCGGCTTTGAAGAATTCCAAGGGAACATGGTTATACAGTAGTGAAAAGCAGCCAATTAGAGGTTGGCTCTAAAATAAAATTAGCAATCCTACCCTTATTCTGTTCACATCTGTGACAAGAAGGGATAGGGATTAGCTGAGTTTGGTCAAATGTATGGTATTCAAATGCAGTGGGGAGAAATCATTGCCTGTAGTTGACATGAGTGATGAGGTTCAACAGTAGCCTGGGGCGGTCGGGTAGCCTAGTGGTTAAAGCGTTCGCTCGTCACGCCGAAGACCCGGGTTCGATTCCCGACATGGGTGCAATGTGTGAAGCCCATTTCTGATGTCCCCCGCCGTGATATTGCTGGAATATTGCTAAAAGCGGCGTAAAACCAAACTCACTCACTCAACAGTAGCCTAGTCAGTATGTTATTGTCTTGCATGTCAATTGGGTCCCAACAGAGCTCTCAGCTAGTCATGCAGACACAATCACGGCTCTGGCTATTGTTCACGCAGCTCTTGTTTGGAGGGCGTAGCTCATTTAAAAAACTTACCCTCAGATTCAGCTCATAAAGTGCAAGTATCATCATGGTTAGGTACAACTATGCAGAACTGGATACATTTTGTAACATTGGAAATTCAAATATCGCATTGGCACGTAAATAAGGTTAATTTAATCCTTAGCAGTGGCTATCAATTTAAAAAAATCAACGTAAGCAGGGGCTTTATATATAAAGGCTCGATATACAAAGGAAATACAGTAGGGTAACGCAAATATTAGCACTATGAACATTAAACTCAGCACACTAACCATTCCAACTGAAAGTTTCTCATAACGTCAAATTAAATCATATATTTTTCTGTAACAAATTTAAATAAAACACAGAACTGTCAACTGTCATGATCTATGGAGAAAGGGCCCGGGGTCTAAATCGTCAAAACTTGACCCTACTGTTGAGCTAGCCGCGATACCTGGCATTGGGCCAGTCAAGAAAACATTTTCTTGACTATCAGATCTCGCCGACTACTGTTGCTCCACATGCTCGGCTACTCATGAACTAGGGGCATCGGTAGTTGTGCCATCTGAAATGAATGTTCTAACAGAGACCATATATGGTCTCTGGCTCTAAGTATGTAAAACAGTAGATCTACGCACCAAATATAATAATTTTCATATCTTTCTTCCACCCGAGTGTTGCAAGTTTACAGAGAGAATGTCCCATTTTCGTCGTTTTCTGTGTAGTTATAAACGTGAAGTTCGTTTGACGGTAGTACTCCTCCAAAGTCAGCGGTTTCATTCACCGTCATCAGGATATAAACGCCTAACCCGCGTTCCTCCACACTTCTTCCTTCTCCGTCACTGTTTATATGTTTCGCCAAGCTCCTCACAGCGATAGTCCGTTCGCGGCAAGCTCCTCACAGCGATAGTCCGTTCGCGGAGCTCTCTTTGTTACCGAGAGTGTAACGAAGGTGTCACGCGCTGGGAACTCTGGGTAGGAGAGTGCTTTCGCAAGACACGATGGCCGGAAGTGATGTAAAAATCGAATTTACTAACCGGACAAAACCGAACAAAATGTGTACTCGCTACCGACCAGTTTATCGTGATTTTTTTTCGTGTTATTTCTGAAGTATTCCGTGTATAAAGTTGACTATACCAATTACTTTGATTTTCGTAAAACTATGAGCAGAGATCATAATGTCTCGGGTTCTGGCCGACGATGTAATGAAGTGGACTGAGGCGGTGAAGATGGCTTTAAAACTGTGTATTCGCTGTAAAAGATAGCATCAGTATTAGATGTTGAGTCGAGGGAGCAAGAAGATCATTGCTCGGCTGTGGCGTGACAAAATGAGCCAATTAGATATGACAATGATATCGGAATATATTGAATACACGAGTAGCTAAATACAATATTCTAACGCTGTTACTTTATATACATTGGATGTAACAATGAATGCTTTTGACGGCATGACCGAGTAGGATACTGACAGTTGATTACAATTATGATTTAGACTCTACGATCTCGTTACCTATTCTATTGATTAGTTTACCATAGAGGAAGCACATAGATAAAGATAATACCTGTAAACGATATAGATTGCATCAATATTAATTGATGTTCAGTGGACGTTGGAGTAGAGTTCTGTTATAACGCGAGAGGGAATCAAAACAGTGCAGAACTTTCCCGTCGACTAGGTGTACCTGTTATCGTCATCGTCTAAACAGCACGCGGCCACTCGCACTGCTTTAGTTATACAATTTACATTTTTTTATTATCTATGGTGTCGGACCCAATTAGTTTTTTCACAAAAAGTTAATAAGAAATGCTTTAACCAATTTGTCGTCTCCAACCAATGTAAACCAATATTCCCAACATATGGTCTCTAGATCTTCCCATAGAGATTACTACGCGAGTGTCTGTCAGATACCATTTATCTAACAATGATTATCCATAACTATTTACTTTTGATTTCACGATATATTCAGGTTATACAATATTTGTAAAATAGACAAATAAGGTTTTAGAATTATATTTTGGGGGGTGACAAAACTAAATGTGAATCATCGTGGGTGAAGTTTTGTTTACACGCGTGTCTCTTCTGAAGTTGTATTCTAGCAATGTGCTTATAAGGTATTTTCAATATTTTCCAACACGAGTCAGTTTTGTTATTAATGTTCGTATAAATATTTCTCTCTTCTAATGAAAACAAGGGGGCACGGGTGGCTCAGTCGTCTAAGGCGCCACGATTCGCTGTGCAGAGTTGCGTCCCTTGGGCACGCCAGAAACCTATGATTATGAGTTCGAATCTCGGTTAGTCCCGATTATGTGTATAGGATTGTCAGCATGCCCGTGCTCGTGGGTTTCACCGAAGTGGTAAACGTCCGAGACCTGCATCACTTAGGGCTTTCCTCCCACATTAAGCTACGACACTTAAAGCGGCGTTAAACCCAACTCACCCACTCTAATGAAAACACGCGAGTGAGTGAGTAAATATGGTTTTGGACCCCTCTTAGCACTATTCCAGCAATATCATGGTGGGGGACACCAGAAATGGCTTCACACATTGGGGAATATGGGGAATCGAAACCGGGTTTTCGGCTTGACGAGCGGACGAGCTACCCCATCGGCTCTGTTACTATAATATGATGTCGTCCGTGTGGCGTTGTGAATGAATACTCAGATGATTGCATGTGATGTGTCCTTACATATTTATGAACGTGTATATTTATTTTGAAGTTTATGTTCCAGAGCGTTTGTTCTGACTTCCGTTGAAATAATCCTCATTACACTACGACATGTGTGTTATCTGTGCACTAGACCGGACACAAACAATATATTTCAAAAACTTAACAGACACTACTTGCATACATATAATTTTAAGGGGAAATGCATTTAATAACTTTCAAGAGTTGCACCTAGAATGAATCATTCTTCCCCGCCCTGAAGGCGGGGAAGTATACGGGAAACGTTAATTTTGTAGCATGTATGTCGACATGTTGGTTTATTTGAAATTTCAAGCCACGCATTTACGGAAACAAAACATACAAATCATGTGCGTGGAATGTTGATGCTATTCTTTTCCAGCAATAAGAGATACTTCAAAATCGTCTTTATGTAGTTAATTGATGCATATGGCCGTTTCTGGTCATTAGCTGACCTTATTAAACCATTCATGTGTAACCCGATGTCCCTTTTTTCCTCAAGGACTAATTTTCTGATTTTCACGGTTTATACAAAAGAAGAACTCCGGAGATCGTAAATAACAGCATAATATAAAATATGTTCTGAATATGCTTATTCATGAACAACGACGACATCTCAATTTAAATGTAATATGGCTGAATTCCACATTCTACATACCACACTTTTTATTGTTTGGATGCTCATGTTCACTGAAAATATTTGGAATAGTTATGTTCCGTATTTTGAATTAACCCAGTCCCCCGTGCTTTTTAATCAGTGCACCGCACATAGCCACATGTGAAACGTTTGGTAGCAAAGTCATAACAAAATCGGAGTAGTGTGTCGGCGATGTTTCATCAAGGCTGTAGTATTTTTCAACCGTTTAATGGAATTCAATGTACAGCCGTAGCTCTGGTCGCTATCATATACTTTGTGTCCCAGGGCTAAAATCTATTTGCGTCAGTACCGTGTTCCACTGACCTCGATAATCTGTTGGATGAAGGCACAGCTCTCTACACTCACATAGTTAACACCGAAGGCAATGAGGGGTATTTTGTAGGTCATAATCAGCTCCCGGCAGCCACTGCCTCAAGCGATATTGTCTACATAACAGATCAGTTTTATGGCCCCGTCACAGGTGCTCCAAATAATGAAGCAGTCACTTTGGGTAACTTTTAAAGATGTCTCCATTGCAATTTTTACGGATTTTGATTCGTATGCATTATTTGACTCTCATCAGCGGACTGGTTTGGGTCAGACTGATCCGAATGGACAAGCCGTATTACTTCTGTTTAGTAGCATGGATGAATTGTTATGTTACATCTTTACAGTATATCAGGCGACTATGCTTGTCGTAAGAGGCGACTAACGGGATCGGGTGGCCAGCCTTTGGTTGGTGCATGGCATCGATATTGATATTAATCACTGGATTGTCTGGTTCAGACTCGATTATTTACAGAACGCCGTCAGATAGCTGGAATATTGCTGAGTGTGGCGTTAAACGACAAACCAATCAATCAAACGTAAAACGAGACGAGGAATCCGTTATTGATTAGTCCCGGTATTGAAATGTTCTCCAACTACGGGATAATATTTTGAGTATGTGCATCTGTGGTTGTGGCAAAAAGACCTTATCTAGTATGACTGATTTGCCATATGAAGCCCTTAGTATTTTCATTTACATTATTATAACCAAATGCCAAGTGTAAAAAGAATGTGATCTATTATTTGAGTATGTGCATCTGCCAATGTTGTTGGCAGTTTTTATACTATTTCCACATGTTTACATTTGTGCCAGAAATTACTTCCATTGCCTTCGATCTACTTTTTAAATAAAGACCCAGGTTAGAATAGGTCTTCAGCAACCCATGCTTGCTGTAAGAGGCGACGAACAGGATTGGTAGTTCCATGCTCTTGGTGTCAATCACTGGATTATCTGGTCCAGACTCGATTATTTACAGATCGCCGTCATATGGCTGTAATACTGCTGAGTGCGGTGTAAAACAAAAAAAATAATTTTTAAATATACCTACCCTATGCAAATGTATCAACTTTATTGCCCAATACTCAAAATAATGTTTTTTCCACAACCACGTTGTGTTATTTGTGACTTATATAACTTTCTTCATGCCTTTCAGTAACATCATAATTATGCGTTTGTGAGGCATCACGTATGGCGGGGAACTTTGATGCTCTGCATCAATGTTTTCTTGTTATATACCCACATTGACTAACTTGTCATGTATTGCAGGTGCATGGGTTAAACCATTCGTTGCGTCCAGGCGGATGGTTTTGGAGCTTTCTTCCATCACCATCAATTAATTTTGCACTTTTCACCGTATCTAAAAGTCGTCCAGTTTCCAGTTTCATAAAAGCTACCCAATCAGTGTGACATAGGCAACATTTTCCTTCAATTGTTAATCACATTGTCTACATACTCAGACCTATTGCCTCTTGTTGGCATATGTTCTTGTTTGACACCCTAAATTTGGTGGTGTTGTTTAACGCTGCACTCAGCAATATTCTAGCTATATGACGGCCTGTAAATATTCGAGTGTGGACCAGTCAATCCAGTGACTGACATCATGAGCATCGACCCACGCTATATTTGGATACGATTACATGAATCAACCATGTCAGCGAGCCTCACCACCCGATCCCGATCCCGTTAGTAGCCTCTTACGACAAGCATGGTCGCCTTTTACTGCAAGCATGGGTTGCTGAAGACCTATTCTACCCCGGATCTTCACGTGTCGACACCCTACATACCTAGGTTACCCTTTAATAATGAGGCTGAGTATATATTGTCATTTTGATGCATAATCTAAACTTTGATGCCCTCTTTGTATACGTTATCATGCATTTATTAAGTTTTCTTCAGTTTTTATCAAGACCGCCTCAAATGTCTAGTGGTAGAGCGTCCGACCGGAGAGGGGACGGTCCAGGGTTCGATCCCCGGCCGCGTCATACCAAAATACGTTAAAATATGGTACTTATGGTTACCCTGTCTGGCGCTCGGCATTAAGGGGCTAAAACAAGGACTGGTTGGTCCAGAGTCAGTATACTGTGTCTGAGTGGGGTATTCATGTCAAACGGCGGCATGGTATCTCAGTGGGCAAGCACTATAAAATTAGTCCGGACTAGTAGACAAGCACACACACACGCATACACACACACGCGCGCACGCACACGCACACACACATGTGAATGCACGTCGCTATATAAATGCAATAATCTTGGACG